ACATGCAAGAGACACAAACACACAGGAGACACACACTCACAGGAGACACACACTCACAGGAGACACACACACAGGAGACACAACTACATGCAAGAGACACAACTACACACAGGAGACACACACTCACAGGAGACACACACTCACAGGAGACACAACCACACGCAGGAGACACACACTCACAGGAGACACACAGAAGACACAACCACACACAGGAGACACAACTACATGCAAGAGACACAACTACACACAGGAGACACACACTCACAGGAGACACACACTCACAGGAGACACTCCCACACACAGGAGACACAAACACGCAGGAGACACACACTCACAGGAGACACACACTCACAGGAGACACAGCCACACGCATGAGACACAACTACATACAGGAGACACAACTACATACAGGAGACACACACACACAGAAAGACACTCCCACACACAGGAGACACAAACACGCAGGAGACACACACTCACAGGAGACACAACTACAAAAACCCAAACCGTTCTAAATGTGTATAGAAAGACAAAGAAAAAAAGGTATTGAGTCATAATGAAAAAGAAAGAGTTATATCTACACACTCTCACCTCCTTCTTTACTCCTTCATTCAGCGAGTCATACACACCTGCTTAATATTTCCTCACATGGGGAGTCATACTCTGACCTCCTTCCATACTACTTCACATGGCGAGACATACCCTCTCCTCCTTGCATACTCCTCCACGTAGGGAATCACACCCACACCTCGAATACTCCCTCACACAGGGAATCATACACTCACCTCCTTTCATACTTCTTCATACGGGGAGGCACACCTTCACCTCCTTCCATACTCCCTCACAGAGGGAGTCACACCCTCACCTCCGTCCATACTCCCTCACATAGGCAGTCATGCATTCACCTCCTTCCATACTCCCTCACATAGGGAGTCATACATTCACCTCCTTCCATACTCCCTCACATAGGGAGTCATACCCACACCTCCTTCTGTTCTCCCTCACACAGTACATACCAATTCAAATGTAGATCCAGATAAAATTTGTTCCAAGACAGTTCTGTATCTGAATCACAGTTTACACTCACACAGGCCAATGGTCATTTATTGACGACTGATACCCAAGAGACTAGATTGGACTGATTGACACTGTCTTTACAGCTCAACAAGGCATTCCTTAGTTTGCAACCCCTCATCCTGTCATTATTCAGAGGGAAATCATTCAGATAACTGCACTGATTTCATTTCTTTTTTATCTTCAAGTTGTTTTGATGAGGTTATTTCCCCTGAATGGAACAATGCTGTGTGTGTGACCCTAACGCCATGTCTGTGACCATTCAGAAGCTCTTCTAAGGATGTCGACCTAAGATGCGTTACACCAGACATGGCAGATCACATGTGCACTTGTTGTTGATATCAAGGCTCTTGCTGACACGCTACCATGTATTGTAACACAGTTGTTGCTATGATACTGTAGTGATTAATAAATTATTTAAGTTTCAATGGAACTGTTGTTTTTTTACTCGCATGTCTGTTTTAAAGAACAAACCTTAATAAATAAAGATTTTTTTCTCCCTGTCCTTTCAGGCACACCTGAAACACCTGAACGAATACCAAGGCTGACTTGATTGTCCTCTTATACTCAAGCCATTCATCTTAAAAAAATAAAGGCAAAAATAAAGATATCTGTTAACCCTTTGCTCTGTAATGTAAATATATAGCAGATAAACACATTTTGAGGTCAGTTTTGAATTTCATGGTTTACATTTATATGCTTAGCAGACATATTTATCCAGGACCAGTGAGGGTAAGTCAAGTCAAGTCAAACTTTATTGTCATTTCAAAATATGAGAGGACACAACGGAAGAAAATAGCATTTGTCTGAGACTTTAAAAATGTCAAGTTAGACATAAAAGAGGATAACGAATAAATATAAATGTGCTGTAAGGCAGTTAATTTCTTATGTGCAACTGATGTATAAAGTTGCTCAAGGGTTTAATGGCGAAAACACTCTGCTAAGCATGGGATTCGATCCAACAACCTCCTGATCACAGGCACAGCACCATACATCCACACAGCACCTCATTCCAAATATTAGCTTACCTGTTACCATAGGAGCATCTCAACAAAATGGTGAAACAAGGCTCAGCAGCTCTACACCTCAGTACCAGAGTTAAACAAAGTCCCCCTGTCGGACAATAGTGAGGAATCGTATAGAAAAAGACATGACAAGCGATGTCATCGCTTAAGCATAAGACACACATTGCCGTCATGAGGTAGGGTAAGCTCAGTAGCAAAGCAGTGATGCTATAGTGTGTCAGTGAGAGTAGAGCAGCCGTAGCCTTTCATCTGGATACAGCAAAGCAGAGTATTTTGTGGGAAACAGAACTGCACCCTCCACGCTCCAGGATTCTCCTCCACCCTGTACTGGGCACACAGTCAGAAGTTGGATGGGTATACAGATAACCACAGCCTACCTGGCACTCAATTACCCAGAAATCCAAGGGATTCTATCATCCAAGAAATTAGCATAAATGACAAGAAGCAGCACAACTTTGCAGAGAAGTGGTTTTTGAGTTTAGCCTTCATTTTATTGTCCAAAACTGGCTTTGCACCTACTTAGTTATGCCAGGTCTGTTATGGCAGTGGAAGCTGAAATGTTCTTGTGACATAACATTGCTGGTTGTCCCATTTTTAAAACTCTTATATGTCAGTTAGCCGTGACAATCTTTCCTTCTACCCATTAAAAAATAGATTTTAGTGACACGGAGGAACATCATCTTCACTGTGCTGAGCCGCTGAACGGTCCGGTGGAAAATGAGCAGATTATGAATCGTGATAAATGAGAGTGTGTGAGGTGTCAGCTTGTATTGCATCATCTCAATCAGCTCTGCTCACCTACCGTTGAGCAAATCTCACCCCCACATCCATATATAGCTGAAGTGAGTGCTGAAGTGGGGGTGATGTATGGCCCAGCAAGTTAGGCCTTTATACCTGAGATTACAATGTTGCCAGTTCAAATCCTGTCTTTGGCAGAAAAGTCTATTCTATAGTCCTGAATATGTCCTGAATATTGTATAGTCCTGAATATGTCCTGAATATTGTATAGTCCTGAATATGTCCTGGAATATTGTATAGTCCTGAATATGTCCTGAATATTGTATAGTCCTGAATATGTCCTTGAATATTGTATAGTCCTGAATATGTCC